GGTAAAGTTCAAGATTTGCAGACACTAACTACTAATTATAAAACAGATAAACAAATTTCCACTGTATAGCACAGGGAACTATATTCAATATCTTGTAGTAACCTATAATAGAAAAAGAATATAAAAAGGAATATATGTATGTATATATATCAGTGAAACATTATGCTGTACACCAGAAATTGACACAACATTGTAAACTGCCCATACTATAATAATAATAATACTAATACTATTACTAATAATAAAAACATGAGTTTCCTTACTTCCAAGCTTTTTTCACCCTACTGTGTCACAGAGTTTTGTGAAAGGACGAAGGAGTTTGCAGCTGCAAGGGAGAGTTATTGAATCTCCCAGATGTCAGTTTCCAGATTGTTCAGAAACTCAACTGACACCTCTGTTTCACTCTTGTCTTTACTCAGTAGAGATTCATGTCACAGATCACTTTGCTCCAACCTGTTTCACAACGATTTTTGACCCTGGATCATTTCCCTACCGAGGCACTGAGCTTCTTGAGGTTAGGAATGGTGTTTCTTTACCTTCTGCCCCCATCGCTATCCCACCCCAACCCTATACTAATCCTTGGAGAACAGCTTTAAGATCTCCCTGCATTATCCTGAATATGGGCAGTCTGCATCCTTGCTCTCTGGAAGTTCACCATCCTACTCTCCAGAGTCCCTAATTTATGGCTCTGGACTCCATTTGTTGGTGGTATTGGTTTTAATTCAGCAAAAGCTAGCGGTCTCCCAAGGGAAGGTGAGAAGGAAGGACATCTGGGGGTCGTTAACAACAGAGTCTGTGACTGGCGGTTCAGCACCCTGGGGCCTAGTGTCAGGCATTGGTCCCAGGTCTTCAGTGTCTGGTCAAAGAAGGCGGTTTCCAGCCCCCTTAGGGGCCCGCAGGCCAGTCTCCTTTGGGGGTCGGGATTACGGGGAATACTAATTAATTCATTAGTGGGGTTGATGGATTATCAAGCTGTCTCCTGGCAGAGGGGCTTTGGGGGGGAGGGTAACAGATTGCTGCCCATAAATCTGCCTGTTGCCCCCCTTCTCTCTGCTTCAATGGCTCCCGGCGTCAGGCCTGTGGGCCGGCAACTGAGCGCTGGTTGCCTGTTCCCCGCCCAGCAGATGGTTCTAACAGGTTAGCTCAGAGCTTTACAAAAAAGCAGCCGAGAAAGAAGGAAGGACTGGGGATTGGCCCTCTGGCCTAGGAACCCAGTGGGGGAAGGAGACTGAGGGCAACTGCCCAGCATTCAGTCCCCACCCCCTTGCTTCTGGGGATGGCACCCCCCGTCTCCCACCCTGCCCCTGCCCTTCCTGCACTCTCCGAGTTGAATAGCCAGCCAACTGTATAACCATCGAGAAGTTGTGATGAGGGTGACCCTGATGAAATAGAGTCCATCCATCCCTCTGAAAAAGGCAGCTCTCAAGGAAAATTCAGTGCCCTCCTCGCCTCCCTACCGAAGCTTCACGCGCAGGCACACACACGCAGACCCAACTGAACGTGTTTTGAGAGCTAATCCTATTGTGTCCAGTCCCTTACATCTGCCCGAGAAAGCAAGGAGCCCCACAGAATGTTCTGTCCCCACCCTCATCTTTGTCTCAATATGTTCACCTTTCTGCTAATCCACTCCTCCCTGCCCTCTGAACATTTCACAGGCAGGATCCCAACAACACCAGTATCATCAGCTCTCAAATGTCCAAGGCAGTGACGTCAAAGACACAAACAGGGGACTTATCCATTCTACCTGTGCTCATTGCAGCTCTATTCTAAACACAAATTACTCCACAGATAAATTTCCTCTGGCTCAGTAGTGGATTCTGATTTGGGTTTTAGAAATCCACCATTCCTAGCATGTGTTATTAAATGACTCTGAAAATGAAGTTTATTTTGCTGAGCGGATATTTCCTGGATAGGGTTGCAAAAAAAATCAGTAAGAGCTTAGAGATTCTCCTATGAACAACTTTCTATAAACACTGACAAAAAAGTATTAATTTCTATTTTCTGCTTTTCTGTGGACAAGTCATATGACATAGCAGAATTAGAAAAAAAGTTAATTATTTTAAACCTAAGCTATTCCTTTCAACTTTATTGGCAGTAACACTCTCTTTTGTTTTAACCTTTTGTACCTTTCCTTGCAACAAGGTGTATTTATAATTCTTCATCTCTATTAGACACATGTGCTAGCTACACTGATAGAGTGCATGATTTCCAAAAAGCCTGGAGAATTGCCTTCAGTCAGTTTCAAAAATAGGTTGAGCTTGGATTCAGAATTCTAGCTTGCTGCTGATGGAAAAATCTTAAGTGATCGGGTCATTTTACAGATGTGATAATTGATGCTGAAAGTGAAGTTGAACTATTAATGATCAAGCAATCAATTACTTAACCCAATCACCCTTCCCTTTCCTCCTCAGAATCACTAGAAGATTGCAAAATCCTTTACACCTTAAAATGAACTCACAAGTATTTATCTGATCTTGGTCAAGTTTCACACAAGGCAGTGTTCCAAATCTGACGACCTCTACAGTGAAGAAGCCACACTTTGACTTGGTAGCCTGGTCCACGGTGCTCTGTAATAAAGCATATACACATATTTTCTCTCAATCTTTTCAGATGTAGTTTTTTTTTCTCTTCTAGCAATCTAATTTTACTTCATAATGCCACTAGAGTTTTAGGAATTATACAGGACCCTTCTTTCCTTCCAGTTCATGACCACTCAGGTGAATTTTTTCTACCTGAATGCTTAATGGTATATTTTTGAAAAAGAGTAGTAGATCCCAGATTGTAATTTGAGGAGTTAAACATCCTCAGAATGGAAGATTTCATTCATTTGTGTTTTTTTTAATTTCAAACAAACAGAAACATTGAAAGAATAGTACAATGAATACAGCTATAACATTGTCTATACTCACTAATTAAAATAAAGGATTTTAAATGGGAATAAGTTTGACAGGTTGAAAAGAAGAGAGAGGAAGACTCTTATTCCTTCTACTTTTGGAATTCAGAAGTTTTAAAGTCCACATGTGCAAGGCAACAGTCAGTGATGCTGTGTCCTGGGCTTGTATCTTTTTCATTTTTTGACTCTTCAGATGTGGACCAATATTTTCATTTGCCTTTATTAGCTCTTTCTCCAAGTCTGTCTCCAAGTTTCTTTCTCCATCCTGTCCACATTGATCAGCTCCCATTTCTTACCATATTAACTACAAAGATTTCCAGTTCTCTTTTTTCTTTACCTCTCAACTTCAACAACTCTCCTCCCGTACTCCCCTCTATCAACCTTCATCCCCATTTAAACCAACGAATGAATGGCTAAGCTGGACCTGACCAGAGGAGCCCTTTGAAGTAGGCGTGTCTTTCGGCTGGGGAAGGGGAGGAGTTAGGCTGCGGACAGCACTACTCCGCCCTGGACAGCTGGGAAAGCAATCAAAACTGCTGCAACTCGGAGACTCCGGCCAGAGCGCAGGAGCTGCCCAGAGGCTGTGGTCCTGAAAGCTCCACTCCGGGGAACTAACCAGAGAGAGGAGGTACTGAAGGCCGACTAAACCAGCTGCAACGGGGTATCAGCCCAAAGGCGTCCTGGAGGAGCACACAGAACTTCAAGGAAGGAGCAGAATAAGTAGCAGTCAGAGAAAACATTCCTAAGAGGCAGTGGCCGGTTTAACATGGATCGCTAAAAGCATCTCCTCCTATGATCTGGATGCTCAGGGAGACTTGGCTTCTCTGAGTCTCCTCCAGGACACAGATTCACAGAGTTCACGCCAGGGACTGCCACTGACAGAGGTGAGCCAGCGGATGGGGTGGTATGGGGACTCCTAAAGTTTCTGTGGGTAGTTCTCACAGACCTAGAAGAGAAGCTGGGGTGAGGCAAGTCTCTTCTGGGCTAAGAGAGGAGGGAGTAGGATTTACAAAAGTTGAACAGAGAAGTAGAGAGAGTCAGACACTTAGGGGCAGATATTAAAATTTTAATAATTTCACTAATTCCCATAGCACCCATCACCCAAAGTAAAGCTGAGATACTCTCGATCACTTTTATAAAATAGAGATTACAAATTATATATACCCCTATTCCCATCAAACCCATTCTTCCACTTTATTAATGCAGAAGAAAATAGCCAAAAAGTTTAACTGCTTTCCCAAAGTGGCTCAGCAAATATGTTGGAAGAATTGAGCTAGTCCACCACTCTGCTCACAGCATTTTAGGCTACACGAGGCGTGAAGGGTGTTGTGTGGCGGGGAGGGAAATGAAAATAGAATAGGGAATGAGAGAAGGTGTTGAAAAACCATGGGGATATATTCTTACCATTGCCCTCATTTGGTCTGCTCAAAATCCCGAGATAGTTGGCATAGGATGAGGGAACATTTCCTTTTCCTCAGCTTTTTCAGATGGGAAATCAGAAGAGAAAGATTGTCCACGTCTATTTTTGCCTCTTCTGCCTCTCATCAACCCACCCACCCCACAAAATGTATTCAGAAAAATACTAAAAAATGTAAAATGCCCACCTCATTTTAAAAAAAAAACATTCTACCTTTTTTTTTTTTGCGGTGGGGGAGGTGATTAGGTTTTTTTTTTTAATTCTTTATCTTTTTAATGGAGGTGCTGGGGATTAAACCCAGGACCTTGTGCATTCTAGGCATGCACTCTACCACTGGGCTATACCCTCCCCTATGCCTCGTGTTTTTTGACAGAGGGACCAGAGATGAAATGCTGAAGAAAAAGGAGGGAAAACTGAAGGACTGAGTAACTTCAGTTTACAGAGTTAACAGTTAGGATCTGAGGCTATGAAAATTGAAGGATGATATGGCTATGCTGGATAAGGGGTGTGTGTGTGTGTGTGATCAAGAGGGAAGCAGCAGAGTATATAAGGTTGAACAGGACGAGCACAGAACAGCCTCTGGCCACTTCCAGGTAGCCCAACTTGTGAGCACCCTGGTCTGCATTCCGTCTTTAGTGAACAGACTCTGCAACTCCAAGCAAGATGTTCGTTCGGTCTGTCTGGTCCTTAGGCTCCCTAGAAACTGGGCTGAATAGTCCTCTTCCTGTTGTATATAGGATTTGGCCATAGGATCAGGAGGTGAAGTTAGTACAATCAGTTTTCACAAGGAAAGACACTGTCTATCACCACAAACACACACACAAGTGCTCCGGACTCACTTATTCACCAATGGAAAATTCTCTGCAACTCAAAAATTAGTAAAAGAATAGGACGAATTCCAGGACAGCTCCACACCATAGTAATGCCCAGTGACCTCAGCCCCAGTGATAAAAGTATGGGTAGTCATAATCCTTGACTGCACAAGCATTTTTTTCTAAAACAGATCAAAAATTAAAAAAAAAGGGGAAGGGAATTTCAAATTTGAGAGAATTGGCTAATCTTGAAATTTCACAAAAGGATCCTAAAGAAAGGGAAACATTCTGTTATATTGTATAGATGCATAAGGAAATCCAGGTTCCAAGGTCAAAGAATAAAATGAACTTTATAAGATCAGAATGTGCTCAGGGGGTGCAGGGGGGTTGTACTGTGCCTTCAGAGCCAGTATTTATTGATCTTTGTCATACTGGAGTCCGCTTCATGTATATTTTGAGAGCTAATTTCTTTTCTAGGGATTATGGAAATCTCAACGTGATACTTTGTGAAATAGTGCTATAGACTTTGTCATAAAGCATCTATCAAACAATCCCCAACCCTTACCCTTGCATAATAACTCTACAAAGTTCTTGTGTTGCACTGTCTCCTTGTTTTTCATAAACACTTTTAAATAAGATATGAAAGATAAAAATATTATTTCCATTTTGCCCCAAGGGTAAAAGAATTAAAATAATTATTTTGTGTTCATTTAATAAGTGAGTGATGGAACAGGGTTTCAGTTTCATGCTTCTTTCAATACACCTCTGAGCTGGTTCATTAACAGGCTACAGGCCATGGCAGAATTAGGTACCTGTTCTGGAAAGACTCAGGTTGGTTTTCTTGATCAAAGCTCAGAACTGCACCACACACATTTTCAACTCTCAGGTCGAAAACTGGATGTTTGTCTTTTTTTCCCCGCTAACCATTTGATGCATTGAAGGTATTTAGGTGGGAAAAGTCAAAGGAAAGTTCTTTTCTTTATCTTTGAGGAGTTCTGGCTTTTATTTCTATTTGAGAGACACCACTTCAGACCTCTGGCACTTGATTCTGGTAGGAAAGTCTTATCCCCAATATTGCTTAATGAGCAACAAAAGGAAAAATATTCAAGTGCTGAGGGTCGTCTTCATTCCACCAGAGACTCTATGAACCTGAAAATTCATGTGAAGAGCCTGGCCAACCACTGTCTCCCAATTATACAACCGAATGAAAGAGGCTAACTTCCTTCTAGAACATGGCGGCAGGGTTTTAATCAGTCCAGTAGAGGCAGCGGATAGAGCTCTGCTTCCCCAGCCTTTGTAACAGAATGGGAGCTTTGGTATTTAATTTCACTAGGAGTTTGGGGGGAGTGGGTTTATCAGACAATTTTTTGAAATGGATATTGAAATAGAGCCGCTGGCTTTTGCTGGCATAAAATCAACATTAAGGATAGATTGTAATTATACTTGTTTTGTCCACGTGGCCAGAAAAAATCATGGTGAACTTTAGGAACAATAATACCTAACACCTACATGGCATTTATGATGTCTGGTACTATTCAAAGTCTTCAAATATAGTAGTTTATCTTATAGTCACAATAACCCAATGAGGTAAGACCATTATTATTCCCATTTTAAAGAGAAGGAGACTGAGGCACAGAAAGATTATTGCCTAAGGTCACATAGCTAGTAAGCAATTAAGCTGAAATTTGAGCTTACGTAATCTTACTCCAGGCTCTGTGCTGTCCAGCCACGCTTGCGAAAAGAGAAGGTTATCAGGCAATCGTCAGATGCTCTTCTGAGCCAGTCAGAGGAGGTTCTGTCCAGGTAATAAGAGGCACAGTAATTAATACAGTCTCCTTTTACTATTCACCCATGAGAAATAATTTTTATTTTGAGTAATCAAACACGTGAACAGATTAGATAAGAAAACCCAAGAATAAACACAAGACAAATAAATATACGGATAATGTTTTACAGCATTTAAAGTTTACAAAAATCCTTTCTCATATTTTTGTCTTGCAAAAACCATATAAAATATATCATTTCTATTTTATCAAAGAGGAAATGAAAGATCTGAAAGCTTATGCAATGTGTTTGAGATTAACAAGCAGGAATGCAAACAGCTGAGACGAGAGTGTGTGTTATTCCAGCTTCCATGCTTTTGAAACCACTATTACATATTCATGGGATTCTCACAGAGCTAATGGACCAGCACCTACGGGAAAAGAGAAAGTTCACCTGGAGCCATCTACATCCTTTCCATAGCTAGTAACAGAACAAAGATGAAAACTGGTTGCCCTTTTTATTATTTTTGCCAGTCATTTGGTTCTTTTCCTTTATACTGCTGATTTGAAAGCAGCTCTTTGACCCTTACAGAAACCATCAAATTACATTAAAGGCAAAGGGTAGTCTACTCTGTTATAATCCCCCTTTGTGATGAGTGTGAGGATTGACAGAGCTTGGCTAGTGTCCAGAGGTGCGGAGGTAAAGATGATAAAAAGCTGAAATACTGAGGCCAGGCTGGTGTCCGGTTTCAGGGGCAATTCAGGAGACTCTTCTCTCCTCTCCATGCGTGGAAGTATGACCCAGCGATAGTGATGATGATGAAGAGATGAGAGAAAGAGAAGGAACAGGACAGGGAGAAGGAAACAGGGTTAAAGAAGAGAGAGAGAGAGAGGAATAAATGGGTGAAAGTAGCAAGAAAAAAATATGGAAGAGGGAAGAATCTTGGAATATGAGTTTAAAAGCACCGCAGAGAACACGTACACTAGCCTCCCTTTGGATAATGATCACTTCCTGGTGACTTAGCACCACTGAGCCCCAGCTCCCAGTGTCAAAGTGCCTTTCTTTCTTCCTATGGCTGTGATGAGAGGAGAAAGGAGAAAGAATGTAAAACCTAGGGTATGAATTCAGAAAAACTGGTTGTATGTCCTGCTCTACCAGCTCAATGTCTTTGCACTTCCGTAACTTAATCTACCTGAACTGCGCTGACCTTGACAATGAAATGAGCATAACACTCCCATTTTCCCAAAGTTTTGCTATAAGGCTGCACAAATGTTATTATAATTGCATGTGGAACGTTAGGTTTCCCAAGCCCACTCCATCCTCTTTGGCCTCAGAGTGCACCTGCCTCTGAAAGGTCAGTGTTACTTTAACAGAAAGTTAATTAGGTCCTTCACCCTCCCTCTGGATATCTGCCTGAGTTAGAAGTGCAGCTCAGCACACAAGCCCCATCATCCATATTAAAAGTGGGATTTTCTGACTTGGCCTGGGCAGCCAGTTGACCAATAGGTTCCAACGTGTGTTTTCAATAAAGCTGCTTACCCAGGAAGCCTTATTAAGTGAGTAAGTCAAGCTGACATGATTTCTGTGCTGATTAACATGAAACCTAGGCTGTTTTTGCAAAGCAGTAACATTAATTATTTATAGGAGGTAAATGAGGTTACAAGGAAAACAAGCTCAGATTACCAGAAACAAATAAAATCCTATATTTATATTTTTAAAAGCTATGTACTAATTCCTGCATTCATTGATTTGTGGCTCAAGCCTCATGGATCAAAAAACATTTATCATGCTCACCCCTTTCTGATATACAAAGGTGACAGAGGGTTTAACATTTCAGAGAGTAGCTGATGAACCTGGATGCCCCCGATGGAGTTTATCAGATATTTTTATTTGGTAAATTATATACCTACAAATATCTCAACAAATCTCAAAACAATTCAGACTCCTCCAGAATTAAATGCAAAATGTTGACTAAACAACCAGTCTCTTCTGGTTTTCAAATAAGTGTCCTAACTGCAAATTTTTTGGTAGAAGAATTCTGATTAAACAGTATCTGTTAAGCAAGTGAATGAAAGCAGTCTATTTGTGTGTTTGTCTAAAGCCGTCTTTGCTATGTTTGCAGTCACTGTGTTCTGTTAAGTTCAAAACCTGTTCCAGACTTTTCATTTTCAGTGAAGTACTATGATAGTAGTTGCATGGAAAGTCTTAAGTAGGTTGGCTAGACCTCTGGCTCATAATTCTAGCTGCTGCCATATACTTGTCTGATGGTGGGTGTGAGATGCATGTTCAATGAAAAGAGTTCTCCCTTTTAACACGTGGGTGAATTTGAAAGATGATCAGCGGCAACTTCTCTCTCTTTTCCTGATTCTTTCTAGACACCACATCACGAACACCTCTAACACCGCTAACTAGACAGACCATGATGTGCTTACTGAAAAAACAAAATGCTCTCCTGGTGATGGAGAGAGAAATATTTCACGATCAGGTGGTGTACCAGACCGTTGTGGCACAGCTCTTTCCTAAGAGATGCCTGAAGCCAACAGTTGGCAGAGTCAGTGGGAAACATGGGATGTAGAGGTTAGATGTATGTGATACGTCCTAATAGAGACTGAGTCATCCTTTGTAGAAGATGTACAAAGTAGTCTGAATGATCTCACTAGAGTTTTTCTTTGTGTGTGTGTGGTGTAAATATACAACAGTTTAATTATTTTATTGTTTGGTATGCTTTAAATTATTATTTTTTCAATAATTACAATTATTATTTACATATCATCTAATTATAGCTACGTTAGCATCTTCTTTCCCTTTCATTAGTTTTTCTATTTGGACAATAATTTATATGCTCATTTTATCTCCCTTTATGATCTGAATTCTAGGAAGAAAGAAAAATATGTTTTGAATGGTATATCAGTTATTTTTGCATAAAATATCCATGAGATAAAGAACCTGAGAATAAAAAGAGTTAAGTACTGGCTCTACAATGAATAATCAAGTCAATTTCCTTTCTCTATAGTTGATTTTCTTATAATATGCCATAGATAAATGAGTGACCTGGACATTTATTTGAGTCTTACATTAGTTACTCAGAATGGAGGACTAGGACTAGACACTTATACATTGAATTCCAGTGCAAATTCTGTGCTTTATATCAAAGATATAAAAAGAAAGTTTAGTTTTAAATCAAATCAGAAATTAACAGGCACTAACCATTGCTGCTTCCTTTTCCAGGGTTTGGAAATGGCAAAAACTTATGTGAAACCCAAGGAGATGACAGAGTTGGTCAACACAGCATCCTGGATGGACAAGGGTCTGGGGTCTCAGAATGAGATGAAGGAGGAGGAGAGAAGACCAGCTGCTTATGGGCTGCTTGGCAGCTTGGCTGAAGAGCATGACAGTATTGAGGAGGAAGAAGAGGAGGACGAGGATGGGGAGAAGCCCAAGAGAAGAGGTCCCAAGAAAAAGAAAATGACGAAAGCACGCCTTGAGAGATTCAGGGCTCGAAGAGTCAAGGCTAACGCTAGAGAACGGACCCGGATGCATGGCCTGAACGATGCTCTGGACAACCTGAGGAGGGTCATGCCATGCTACTCTAAGACCCAAAAGCTCTCCAAGATAGAGACTCTTAGACTGGCCAGGAACTATATTTGGGCTTTGTCTGAGGTCCTGGAAACTGGACAAACACCTGAAGGAAAGGGCTTCGTGGAGATGCTCTGCAAAGGGCTCTCTCAGCCCACAAGCAACCTGGTGGCTGGGTGCCTCCAGCTGGGCTCTCAGTCTGTCCTCCTGGAGAAGCATGAGGAGAAATCTCCTATTTGTGACTCTGCCATCTCTGTCCACAACTTCAACTATCAGTCCCCTGGGCTCCCCAGCCCTCCTTATGGCCACATGGAAACACATCTTATTAATCTCAAACCCCCTGTGTTCAAGAGTTTGGGAGAATCATCCTTTGGGAGCCATCCACCTGATTGCAGTACACCACCTTATGAAGGCCCACTTACTCCACCTCTGAGCATCAGTGGGAACTTCTCCTTGAAGCAAGATGGCTCCCCTGACCTGGATAAATCCTACAGCTTCATGCCACATTACCCTTCTGCAAGTCTAAGCTCAGGGCATGTGCATTCAACCCCCTTTCAGGCTGGTGTCCCCCGCTATGATGTTCCCATAGATATGTCCTATGATTCCTACCCCCACCATGGCATTGGAGCCCAACTCAATACAATCTTCACTGATTAGGGCAGTAAGGCCAACATTTCAAAGCATGATGTGGACACACAGCCCATAACTCAAGTGGTTGAGCTGAAGATTCAGCAACCTTAATGGAACCCTACAGATATACATGAAACACCACAGTCCCAGTCTGTTTAGGCCCTCCAACATCTGGCGCCCTCTTTTCTCATCGCCTTCTCAAATTGCATTGATTCCTTTATTTAGGGTCCTCAAGCAAAGTTATTTGAATGTTTATAATCAGTGAAAATAGAGCAGAAGCCCTGGATCCTAGTATAGTGGTGCCAAAAACTCACTGAATGATCTATGCCAATTTTTTTCATTTCTGGCCTCTGTTTCCTTACTGATAAAATCAGGCAACAGTTCTAAGTTTAGATAATTTCCAAAGTCCTTCACAGTTCTGAAATTCTATGACTTTGGTGATTATTCCTATAAACTTAGTGAAGCTGGAAAGATTGAGGAATAACATGACATGGACACTGTGTGTGGAATGATCAAATGGAGCTGCCAAAGGAGCATAAGGTGCGTGTCTCTTGGGGACTTAGTGATGGTACTTCTTTGCATCAACCTAAAAATAGCTTCCAGAGGCTAAAATTCTAATGTGGCTGTCACTGTGAATAATGTTTTTTAAGAGATTGGCTCTATTTCTTGTTGGGCTGAAAGCTGAACTCATCTTCCTTAGTAATTTGAGAACCTTAATAGAGATCTTGTACCAACTTGATTCTTAATAACATTTCAAAAGCACTTTGCTCAGTACTTGAGGTGGGGCAAGCAAGTCACTGAAACCTCAGACTCCTATGAACGACGGGACTTAGAGAAGTCATCTGAACCATTTCTTGGCCTCTATAACCAGAGGGCCCTGGAAATTCTGAAGAAGCCAATAGAAATTCTGAAGAAGCCAAGGTGCTGCTATTGGAATCAGCAAGCCACCAGGTCACATTCGAGAGCAATACAATGGCTATTGGATACTAGCTAACTATAGATTGGGGACTCCCTTTAGCTCACACCCCTGATAGGAAAACTGCTGGATTTTCTTTGGCAAGATGAATTTCATTTGGTTAAAGAAAACATGGTTAAAACCACTGCCCTTTGTGACACTAGTATCATATTTTCTAGAAGCACAAGCGCCAATCAATTTATGGACCAAACTTGAATGTTTCCTACACACATCCAACACTTATCTCCTTCCCTGCTGACTGTTACCTCTTCCTCACTTCTGAAATACGTTATTACAAACTGCAGGTAACATTTCAACTGACCAGACTTAGGGATGCAGAAATCCAGTTCAAGGTCAGTGAATGCTTTTACCAAGTTATGTCTTCATCCCAGGTTTATCCTGATTTGCAGGATGTTTATTTTTCTCCATGTAACTCCTCTCTCGTTTATAACAGCAATCATTTTGTCAAGTTTGTTTTTTTCCAGGGAAATATGACCTGAGAAATTTCACTGTCCTGTTCAATCTGCCAGGACAATTATTTAAAACAAACCAAAAGCCTAAATGGTTTACATGATAGTAGATCATATCCTGCTCCTGCCAGAAAGGATAAGTTTAGGAAGCAGGCAGGGTACACAAATAGGCCAATGAATAAAATTGATAAGGCAGATTAGTATGTCATTTTTGACAGCTCAGCTATCCCCTAAAACCTGCCAAACTATCTGTGTATCTTGACTTTTTTTTACCCTCCTATTTATTGTCTCCTTATAGTCTAAGCCATTTTCTTTCCATTTTGCTTGCAGCACTAACCATGTTGTATTTTGCACCCTTGGTCTATAAATCCACTTGAAAGTATCCTTGCAGAGAGATCTTAAACCCCCTCAGGCGTCAAAGTGGTTCTCCTCACCATGACTTGTCCTAGAGAGGGAACAGACAAGTAAAATGATCTATGAAGCCATCCTGCGTGCTTTCTGAGTCTACACTGGCACTCACATTTGTTAGAGACTACCAGGGGTATCTCTCCTTGAAGCTACCATTTTCCGGCATTTAAGTGTGTAGATAATGAGTGTTGTCTGAGTTATTTATTAGATGTTATTTATTTAATTTATTTCTCCCTTCCTTTCATGCAAATTCCTTGAGTTCTCCACATGTGCTTGCAAACCCTCCCTAAGACTTCACTTGAAAAGTAGCTCATCATTTGGCTTGGAATTCCTGAGTTGTGGGGTGAGGGCAAAGGAGAAAGTTAGTGCAGAGTTACTTGTAATGATTTTATAAAAAAAACAGCAATAACTTGAACGGCTATGCAAGTTAATATTTTTAGATATTTTTCCTTCACTCTAAGATGAGCCAGTTATTTTGGGGGAATCTGTTGTTTATACTTGTGGGGAGTATGGTACCCATGAACCAGCATGGAACTGTTCAGCGACAATTTATAATTGAATGAAATTTGGGAATGCTGTATAACTGGAGAGAATCCACTCTTCAACCCAGGGTGGTCTTATTCTTCTGGGGGACCTTCTCCGATAATGCAAAGCAATTATTTAAACATTTTGTAAAAAAAAAAAAAAGTTTTTCCTCCTTTTTTTTTCCTAGCAGAAATAAAGCTGTGAGTCTTACGAGACATTGTGTTGCATTGTCAGTCTTCAAAGTTTTTCTGACTCTCATCTATTAATTTTCTTGGACTCTGAGTCCCATAAGCAGCAGCAGAAGACCAGCTGGCCCGTCAGGAGGATTTGCACATCTCATATTTCAACTGATCCTGCCAGAAGATTTGAAAGGCCTAAACCAAGTAGCTAGAGGCCTAGAAACACTGATCTCTGCCACTCACATAATCAACCGTGAAATCTGGAATTGAGAAAAAAACATCTTCTCATTTACAGAAATCTAGGGTTATGGGCATTCTAAATCATCAAACATATTACTTAGATGACTTACAGAGAGGTTGAACCACAGGAAGATGAACGGTTATCCAAAATTTTGGTGGGCCAGCCAACTCTTTAAACAACTTTCAAGCATGCTCTTTGGCAACTGCTTCTTAATATCTTTTTCTCTAGATTTCTTTCTTTCAGATTTCTCTAGTTAAAATTTTCTAGGGTCCCTTCTTACATGCATGAACTGATGATGATAAAGAAATAATAATAATGATGATAAAAATAAGTTTTAATAAGGTAGAATTGGTTAATCAAGGGAGAAAATTGGTTTAAAATATTTAAGAAACAAAAACTCAGAATGAAAGTCACCCTCCCACCCCATCCTCCATCTGTTCAGAACCCACTCTCCAACTAGAAACCACTTTTGAATTTTTAGTTTACTAGTTACCAGAGATCTTTTATGCATATATAAGCAAATATTAACATTAGGTACAGTAGGTAACAATATTAAGTTACATTATCCTCTTCTTTTTCCTTCTATCACTGGTAGCATAATATAACACAGTTCTGCATACTTTGTTTACCTCAACACATACATTTAGGTATTTTCATATGTCATACAAAGTTTCTTAATTCTTTGTTATAGCTGGTTAAATTCCATGTCAAAAACCATAAGTTATGGTATTAAATGACAAAATTTAGATTTTTCTGATCTTTTGCAGTACTGAATGTACATGTCATTTATGTGTATTAAGAGAAACTTTACTTGGCAGAGAACATTCTAGAGGAATAAAGATAAACTGATAGGTACCAACAACAATCACATCTAGCTGTTAAAGAATGCTTACCATGCTCTGCCACTTTTCTAAGTGATTTACATGTCTTAATCCTCACACAATCCTTATAAGAGAGACACTATTATCATTCTCATTTTACAAATTATGAAGCTAAGGTATAGAGTAACCTGTTCACAGTCACACTGCTGGTGAATCGTGGAGCCAGGATTTGAACTAGTTGGTTTATCCAAAAGGTTTGAAATGAATCTCAGTGGTCGTTTGCCTGGTAGGGACATAAGGATGTCACATCTGCACAAGGCTAGAGCTGGTGGAAGTGGAGGTACTTTCTGACACCCCTCAAATTGTCCATATGACATATGACACCCTGTGGTGTGTATGACCCAGTCTGGCCAATACCCAAGCTCTGAATTAGAATCTGAGAGAAGACCCTCTTTCTATTGACAAAAGCTCAACTTTCAATTGTATGTTGCCTACGTAGACTATATAAATACAGGCTAGCTCACAGATCAATGCTTTGTTCCTTAAAAGTGCCCATCTACCAGAAAGCTTAAATCCATTTCACTGCTGTCATCTCACATAGCTTTAGAGTTTTAGAAAAAAAATTTAACAAGGAATTATAAATATGAAAGTAAAATCTTTTATCAACATAGGAGCATCCTATTTCAAGATTTTTTCTTTTCTATCTAACTTTGGAGTGTAGTTTGGTGCATTAATGGCAAGCATTGACTTCAGGAGCTAATAAATGATATTTTAGTTATATAATTTACTGGTTGAATAACTTCTGTAAAATTGATTAACCTTGCAAAACCTCAGTTCTCTCAAATTTAAAATGGCAATAATAGTAATGACTTCTCACAGGGTTATACTGATGAATTAATTGAGATAAATGCCCAAAGCATATAGTAAGTATTTAATAAGTGGTATTTATTACCATCCATGTGACTACTCATTGTTATTTGATTACCTTCATGTTGGCTTTTCTCTCTGTCTCCAATGTATGTCTAGGGGGTGCTGATGGGGACTGCAGCAGGCTTAGGGAATCCACAGAGTTCTTTAGTTAAGAGAGTTGAGTCGATCAGACTTGGGTTTGAAGCTAACTGGCTGAGTTAGATGCTAACTAGGCAATTTACTCAGCATCACAATGTCTGTTTTTTTTCTTTACAAAAAGTGCTTAAAAATTCCACCAAATTCATAGTTGATATGAGAATTAGAGGTGATGATAATGCCAGTGAAGGTTTATCTCAGGTTCTGGCACAAGGGAAGAAATTTACTACTGTTATAATTTTTATTACTGAGAGGAGCTGGGAAGAGATGAGGAAATTGAGAACAAGAGAGCAAAGAAGATCCTTCGAATTTATACAGTAAATCATTGACTGGGGCCAATATCAAAATCCAAGGCTTTTGACTAAAACTCCCTCCACTGGAATGTGCTATTTTCTAACTCATCATAAAGACACCTTACACAGAAACCCTCAAAGGCAAACTTCCTGA